ATCTCACAATTTCAATTTATCTCTTAATTATGATGTTTCATTTTATAATTATGATTTTGCTTTGGTAAATCGTAATTATAAAATGAAAGAAAGTCAAAATTAGGGTATATTATTAAATCATAATCATGAGATAAAAAAAATCTGAGTTTTTTTTAGACATAGAAAACTAAATTATGACGAGTTATAATTGTGAGTTTTCATCTTATAGTTTTGACTTTTTATGTCATGTTGTTTTTCAGAATTTTGACTTTTCATCTTAGAATTTTGACTTAGTATCTCACAATTTCAATTTATCTCTTAATTATGATGTTTCATTTTATAATTATGATTTATCAAGCATTTTGTTTTTCTTATGTGGTGGAAATGGGCCTCCATACATATTGTATCTCTACTCAAAAGTGTTGCATAGGTACTTCCATGCTTACCCAGTAGCACCACCTAGTTTCATAACCTAGTCCTACAGTATTAGTGTGTAACACAATATTCCGCAAGATAAACTGTCCTGAAGGCACAGCAGACAGCACTCATTAGGAATTCTCTTATATAACATAATATAATTCAGATTTGAATTGCAAATGTCTAAAAAGTTTACATGTGCATTGTACAGTGGCTCTATAATGGGCTCAGGTATGAACTTACCACAGAAAAGATTGTTTGGAACAAAATTTTGTTTTAGAGTTTCGGGGAATGAAAACAGACTAGATTGTGTGATAACCGCATAATGTACACACAAACTTCATTTCAAAGAGTTAAGTTAGAGCTTTGTTTTCAAGAAGATTGGGTATTTTAACTGATTTTAGATTTCAGCTTGACTGTCTGTGATTTGACTGTTTGAACATGACGTCTTGGGCAATTTTTCACCTGTTATTATCTATATGACATGCTTATGTTTATCTTGAATGTTGTATCAATGGTCATTGAAGGGCTGTTGTATGAACTGTGGTCCTGAAGCTTTAGCATGTTTGTCATTGGCGAGTCTGCTGTGCTTCTGTCAATAGCAGCTCTTTGGTAACGTCACTGCATGTTTGGTTTATTGACAGAAGTATGTTCCTATAGTTCCTGTAGCTCAGCTCTAGTTCCTGCAGCAGGCAAGACATTGTCAATGTCATGGGTTTAATGGCAAGTATCAATGTCAGTGTTATTGTAGGGTAGTGTGAATGCATCATAAGTTCAATAAAAGTGTCTGCCAGATGTGCTACATACATATAAATGAAAGCATTTCAGTAATGACTAATATTATTTAGAGTTGTGTTTTTAAGACTATGAAAATGCAGGTTTTAAATGAAGCTTTATCCTTCAGCGGATGACTCAGCTATACACGTTGCAGTTTTGCAGTCGTGTTTTCAATAGTGCCATTCATAAAGTCAGAGCAATGTTCTCCATCAGCAACACCAGTGGATAAAGTTCCAGAAGATGCCGCATCTCAATCAACATCGCATTGAAATGACTTTAAACAAAAAAAGTTGGTTCCTAGCTTTGTTAAATTAGAGGTGCACAGTTATGAGACTTTGATGTGACTTGGTTTTAATAAGTACTATTTTTATAAGCATAATTATTACATACAGTGTATCGTTGACAGTGTTTAGTAAATGCTGTTTCATGTGCCACAGCCCAGTAACCCTGTAAACATCATATGGTGCATGAGATGAGACTTTTCACCATCTGACACTGAATCACATTGTATGACTTTGCTTGTTTCCTATACATTAGCTGATTATTTGAACTTAGATTGTTATTTATGAACTTTTGGTATCATCTGTTGAAAACACTAACACTTATCTAATAGTGAGCAATAACAGCAGTTAACAGCCCCTTTTTTATTTGCTTGATGACATACCTACAAGGAATCTATTCAGATAAGATCATAGGTCATGATATTCATTTTCCCGAATATCAACATGACTGCAAATTTGATAATGATTTTATAGAATTCAATAAAGTTACTAAGTTAATATTAAGTGACTTATATTTTTTCACACAGTCTTGTCTGTTTTGTGCTATTTTCGCCAATAAAAGATTTATAAACATATCCACAGCTGCAGCATTGGCATCTCTGAGCTTGCTTTGTTCCTGAATTAATCTTTCATTTGGAACAAATCAAATGATCAATGACTCATTAAGACAGCACACATTTATTGAGGATAAAAAGAAAAATCAACCAAAAATGTATGGAGAACATAATTTTCTGTGGATTTCTAGAATCAGCAGTTAGTAATTGTTTTCTTTTTCCCCCCCCCCCAATCTTTGTTTAAATTTTTTTTTAGAACTTTCAAAATTCAAAACTGGCTAGGGATAGTGTTCACCACAAAATGAATATTGTGTCTTCATTTACTCAACCTCAATTTGTTCCAAACCTGTTTGAGTTTCTGGTTTAAACAATTGCTAGTCCCCATTGAATTATTATTATTTTTTAATACTATGGAAGTGAATGGGGACCAGCAACTGTTTAGTTACCCACATTCTTCAAAATAACATCCTTATGTTCAGCAGAAGAAACTCTTCAGGTTTGCATGATTATAGAAGTGAAAGTTTAAGGAAAGAAAATAAATAAATAAACAAACAAACAAACAAACAAATAAATATTATTGTTCATTTACAATTAATGTAACAGGAACATTCATAAATGAAAACAAAAATGGACAGAATCATATGTAAAATGTAAAATATGTATGAATGAAAAAATATATGAGAATGATATGCCAATGAAAAAGTGTTTGAATTATTGTCAGATTACACAAAAATGCCCTGTATCAAATCCCTCCCTGTGTTCTTTCATACACACACTGTGCTCTTTGTTTCTTCTCAGGGGAGTGTGGCTGACTTTCCTCAAGCCTGTGTAGAATTTGAAGGCCATATGGATTAAGACCTGTGGCCTCATAGCAGTAGAGAACTTTTTTGACCCAGGGTTAAAGTTTAGCTATTTAACCTACACAATTTTACATGCTCAAAAAAAAATCTGTCTAGGAAAATGTAAAAAATGTCAAAACACACACACACGCACGCACGCACGCACGCACGCACACACTATTTTTCACACAGTCTTGTCTGTTTTGTGCTATTTTCGCCAATAAAATATTTATAAACATATCCACAGCTGCAGCATTGGCATCTCTGAGCTTGCTTTGTTCCTGAATTAATCTTTCATTTGGAACAAATCAAATGATCAATGACTCATTAAGACAGCACACATTTATTGAGGATAAAAAGAAAAATCAACCAAAAATGTATGGAGAACATAATTTTCTGTGGATTTCTAGAATCAGCAGTTAGTAATTGTTTTCTTTTTCCCCCCCCCCCAATCTTTGTTTAAATTTTTTTTTAGAACTTTCAAAATTCAAAACTGGCTAGGGATAGTGTTCACCACAAAATGAATATTGTGTCTTCATTTACTCAACCTCAATTTGTTCCAAACCTGTTTGAGTTTCTGGTTTAAACAATTGCTAGTCCCCATTGAATTATTATTATTTTTTAATACTATGGAAGTGAATGGGGACCAGCAACTGTTTAGTTACCCACATTCTTCAAAATAACATCCTTATGTTCAGCAGAAGAAACTCTTCAGGTTTGCATGATTATAGAAGTGAAAGTTTAAGGAAAGAAAATAAATAAATAAACAAACAAACAAACAAATAAATAAATATTATTGTTCATTTACAATTAATGTAACAGGAACATTCATAAATGAAAACAAAAATGGACAGAATCATATGTAAAATGTAAAATATGTATGAATGAAAAAATATATGAGAATGATATGCCAATGAAAAAGTGTTTGAATTATTGTCAGATTACACAAAAATGCCCTGTACCAAATCCCTCCCTGTGTTCTTTCATACACACACTGTGCTCTTTGTTTCTTCTCATGGGAGTGTGGCTGACTTTCCTCAAGCCTGTGTAGAATTTGAAGGCCATATGGATTAAGACCTGTGGCCTCATAGCAGTAGAGAACTTTTTTGACCCAGGGTTAAAGTTTAGCTATTTAACCTACACAATTTTACATGCTCAAAAAAAAATCTGTCTAGGAAAATGTAAAAAATGTCAAAACACACACACACGCACGCACGCACGCACGCACGCACACACACACACACACACACACACAGAGACAAAAATAATCATTAACATATCATCCTGTCAATTATGAGCTTACATTACCACACATTTTACTATAATATTATAAAAAATACAAAGTAAACAATAGAGACATTTTTATAATTTGTGCATTGTCGGCCTCATTTCAGTGTTGACCTTTCTGTTTAATCAAATCAGCTCTAAAAGTAAGATAAGTCACAGCCAAAAGCATTGATTAACTGGACTGAAAGTTTACTAATGCCATCTAATCTTAGTGTTTCCCTGCCATCAAAGATTTGCGTAACACATTGCACATTACTGGCACACTGTTTATGTACGTAGTAGTTCGCAATAAAAACAAAGTACATTTGTTCTATATAATCATTAATACTTTATTATCCCCATCTGTTGAGTGAATTTTTATGTAACAGAAATCCAGTCACATCCAGCTAAAATTAAAATATGTTCCCTCACTGATCAATAAATTGCAACAGATCTCAATAGAGTTACATAGAGTAATTTGAACCTGATTGTGCCAGTTGCTTCTTATATTATTGTTCCTTAAGACATAATGAGTGAGAAATTTAGCCTAATTCAGACTGGGATTACAATAAATTAAGTATGCATGAATCATACTATTGCGAAGGTTTAACTTATGACTATTAAATAGGCAGCGCTGACGTCACGTAGAATCCTGCCAGTAGCGCCAATGGATCTTATTAATATTCATGAGTCTGCTTTTGGCCAATCAGATCGACCTGTTGAGCGCGCAAGATTAATTTTCATAAATCAAGCCTTCGCCGTAGTATTTTTGCAATCTGGGCACAGGTACCGTTTCGAAATTTGGAGGGGTTGTGCTGTCGATCTCCGAAAACTTTGTGAATACTGAGAAAGCACAGTGTTTTAGGTTTCGGACCTAACCAGGAATTATCAGTCACGTGACGAGTCGTAATGTTTTTTTCACTGTCCACGTGATATTACAAATTTAGCAAGGCTTCATGTGTCACGGAATAGATCCTAAACTTTAAGTATAGTTATGTACATGCACCGAGGTGAAACTCTTGAGTGATTAAATGTCCTCCTAATGAATAAATGAAACGATCTCATTGCGTAGCCGGTCTGAGGTGAGTTTTAAACACTCAATATTTGCAGTTTTTTTCTTCAGTTGATACATTGAGTCAGATGTACAAGTTGCAGTTTTGTTTTCAATAGTGCCATTCATGAAGTCGGAGCACTGCGTGAAACAAACCAATGTTATATTAGGCTACATCGCTTCTGTTCTTTCATATATTTTGGACGATTAAATGACTTTAATTTTAAGTTTTAAGTTAGTTAAAATTGGCGGAATCTTGTTGTTTGTAGGCTAGTATATTTTGTTGAAATGACTAACATTCATATGAGAGACAAAAAAAGGCACCAGTAAGCAGTAGGCTATATGAAGTTAAAGTTTGCACATCATCCTGTCATCAATATTCAGGCTATTTGTTATTTGAATGTTGCGATTTTTATTTTTTCCACACCACTGGATTATTTAATTAAAATAAAGTTTTAAAATGCGACTTCTGATTTCTGAAACGTGTCTTTTTAGTTTAGTGTAAACAAAACTTCGCTTTGATCATTGTTACGTCATCGGAAGTTCAAGGCATAATTGCGGAGGAGATCAAGCGTGTATAAAGTGTACACGTCAGCATCACTAATCCACACCATTTGGTTTGTGAATGTTGTGATTTATTTATTTATTTACGGATTCGTAATGTAAAGGTGATGCGGACAACCATCTTCTCCTGACTCTAAAGTCGCTTGTTAAGTCAACCTATTTGACTATAGCCTACTCATAATGAGCTGATCTATTACTTTTTTTATTTTTTGAATGCAAGACCATGTCCTGTGAATTCTGCCCCAGACTGAACGTTATCATGTACAGTGACGCAAGATGCCTTCCCCAGCTGCCAATTGGACCACAAACCAAAGTTGCACTAAAAGGGCACTTCAACAAATCACAAAATAAAGCATGAGGTCCCATTTTGACATAATTTACATATTGTTAATGATCAATAAGTGTCACGATTTTAAAGCTGTAAATATCAATTCACATGATGCTTTTCTCTAATTTCATTAAGAAAGTGTTGTCTTAAAGGGGTCATATGATGAAGGGGCCACAGCCATATCACCCTGCAGCCCAAGACTGGTTGCCCACTGAAACTAAGCAGGGTTGAGCCTGGTCAGTACCTGGATGGGAGACCTCCTGGGAAAACTAGGTTGCTGTTGGAAGAGGTGTTAGTGAGGCCAGCTGGGGGTGCTCACCCTGTGGTCTGTGTGGGTCCTAACGCCCCAGTGTAGTGACGGGGACACTATACTGACA